TACCTGAACTCTGGCTGCTGGGAAGGTTCTTGAAACGGCTTGGTCAAGGCGTATTTTCAGCAGTTCACTTGCTGCGTCCCCTCAAAAGGGGATTTTGAGAAATTGTGTTTTCTTTTCTGCAGTAGGTGCGGTGGTCTTTATTTGTTTCTCAGCCATGTCCCTTGTAATTAATCTCTCAGGATACCCTTTCTCACGCAGTAGGTCCTCAATTTTCACGAGCACCTCCTCAATACTGTCTGCTGGGCAAATTTTTCTAGCCCTTTGCACTAAGCATCAAACTAGATTTCGCTTCTGTTGAGGGGGTACGAAACTGTTAAAATTCGTGTACTGTCCAGACAAGATTTTATTTCGATATACTCTACTTCGGACGCTACCGTCAGGTCAGCGACTTAGGAGAACGTCCAAGAAGGTAAGCGAACTTGCATTTTCCAATTCCAGCGTGAACTTAGTTGATGAATGTGCTCTGTTGACCTCATTTAAGAGTGCGTCCTCGTCAGTTTCGGCTGCGGCGATCGCGAAGATGTCATCGACGTAGCGACCATAGTGTTTTAACTTGTGGATCTGTTCGCTTAGTTGAACTTTCTCCAGCTTGCCCATGCATATTTCAGCTAGGAGAGGTCCAAGAGGTGAGCCCATGGCAATGCCGTCTGTTTGTCTGTATACCTGGCTGTCAAAAAGGAACTGCACATTTAATGTGAATTTAAGTAATAGTTCCTTCAGTGCATTTGTCGGTAGTCCTATTTCCAGCTGATTTGTCACTAGATATTCGCAAATGTAATCTACTGTTTCGGTAACCGGGACATTTGGAAACAGCGATGAGACGTCTAGAGAGAGCATCAACATGCCACTTAGATTCACGTCTTTGACGTCGTCGATAAATTCGAATGTGTCCGGATATCTACGTGGTGCCAGCTGAAGCCGTAAAGGTTTGAGTTTCTCTGCTAACCACTTAGCTATCACATGATACGGTGAGTTGCGCATGTCCATAATCGGATGAACTGACAGGCCATTCTTATGGATTTTTGGTAGACCAAACAAACGGGGGATGTGAGTGCCCACTCGTCGGAGGCTTTCGAGGTCACGGTCGCTTATGAAACCTCCCGTGTGGAGTCCTCTTAAGCAGTCAGTCAAATTTGGCTCCACTTCATTCGTGCAATCCTTTTCTTTGTCTACGTTCTTGAATTTCGTCTGGTCTGAAAGGATGGTTTGTATCTTTCTTATGTAGTCCACTCTGTTCATTATAACGACACTTGTTCCTTCATCAGGTCTAGTAATCAGGATGTCTTTGTTCTGTCGAAGCTGCTTTAGCTTTTCTAGGTGTGCTTTTGTCAGGTAGCCTCGGTTTGTTATGCTCTTGTTCAGATACTGGTAACTACAGTTCACCAGCGTGGATTTAAAGTGCTGGACACTTTCTGTAGAGATGGGCTTTAAATCTTATGTTTGGTTATAAAGATTCTGAAACTAGCTTTTTATTTCTAACTGATCAACCTTCCGAATATGCGTGCATAATTTAGGACCCAAGGATAATGCTTCAAGTGCTGTTTAATCAAGCGTAATAGAAGAGTTATTGTGTACATACCGAGCTGGATCTTTGGGTAGTCTTGATTGTGGTTTCCTGTCGTGCACCCGACGTAGGAGTGACGATCTCTTTACGTCGCCAGGTTTTGTTTCTATGGTCTGCGTATAGGTGAAAATTCATGTTTTTTTATTCCGCTGTCAGAGTGTCGAGAACAGCAGTGCGTTGGCACACGTGGCGCTCTAGTTCCTC